TGGTATTGTTTGACAATTTCTGAATTCTGTTGTATCACCTTTCTTTGGGATGAGCACAAAATATGGATCTCTTCCACTTGGGTGGCTGCATAGTCTCTCAAATTTCTTGGTCTGGACCAAGTGAGCACTTCTAGCATTGTATCTATCTGTTGAAGCATCTGTCCATTCCTGGAGCTTTGTTTTTCACCAGTGCCTTCAGTGTAGCTTGGACTTCTTTGTTTCTTGATCACGCTACTTCCTGAATCCTTTTTGGTACAGTGATTGTGTATTTTCTGCATCGCCTTTTGATGCTTCTTGCATCATTCAATACTTTGCCCATTGTTGTTGCAGTTAAGTGCTGTCAAGTCATTTCTGACTCATAGTGACCCTGTACAAGTTTCCAAGGAGTGTCTGGTGGGTTTAAACCACAAACCTTGTAGTTAGCAGTCTAGAGCTTATCCTACCTACATTACTAGATATATACACCCTTCAATATGGAAACTCAAGGCTTGAAATTTTTCTTCATTTCTTTCAGACTGAGAATTCCAAGGGCATTCTTTCCTTTTGGTTTTCTACCTCTAAGTCTCTCTGCATGTTTCATTATAATACTTTATTTTGACTTGCTGAGCTTCCCTTTGAAATCTTCTGTTCAGCAATTTTGCTCCATCATTTCTTCTGTTCACCTTAGTAGTAATAGTCTTGTTAAAAAAATAAAAATTCCTGAATCCCATCAAGTCTCCATATCCAAGTCCATTTGACAGGACTCAGAACTAAGGCACAGGTCACCCCACAGAACAGAAGTGAAACCAGATCTACACAGGTGTTACCTTTCACAAACACCCTGGAAAGAGGTACGGGGAGAGGGAAGGAATCTATAGATTAAGAAAGACTGAAAAACATATCAACCAATTGGAAAGTGTAGATCTTATTTGGATTCTGGTTTAAAAAAAAAAAAAATTTTTTTTTAAAGCCATAAAACACTGCCTGGATATTTATTATTACAGAATTATTGCTAATTATTGTTTGCTAATAACATTATCTTTAAGATAGATATTCTTTTCATATCAGAAACCAAGAACATTATGACATTTATATGAAATAACATAACATTTGAGATTGGTTTCAAAATCAGACAGGAAGGAAGGAAGTGGGTGTGGGGTGTAGATGAAATCCAAGACATGGATGAGAACTGCAAAAGCTACGCAATGGACCCAGGAGGCTTTATACTACCTTGCCTTCTTTTATATATGTTTACATTTTTCTCCAACTAAATTTTTTTAAAACATTTAAAAATTCTTACACTGAAATAGTTCATAAGGCACTAATTGGGAAATATTCATACCTAAATACATACAAGAAAGACAACAATTTTGAAAGCTTCCAGACAGAAAGCACAAATCACCTCAAAGGCTCAAGTAACAGACTGACATTACACAACAGTAATACCAAGTGCAAGAAGACACCATAGTACGGATTGAAAAAAAATGCTGAATTTAGAATTTTACATCCAACCAAGTTATCAAACATGAGGGTATAATATAATAAAAATATTTTCAGACATACTAAGTCTCAAAAACACTGTCACACAAAGACTCAATTGAAAACATGAATGGATGAATGGAAGGAGAGAAAGAAAAGAAAAATCAACAGTATCAAAGAAAAGAACAATCAAGAATTTAAATCTAGACAATTACATATAGAAAACACAGGAGAAAATCTTTGTGACCAGCTAAAATGAATAGCCAGAAATACTGTTAAATGATGGTACATGGAGGGTATTATAATCATTATAATGAAACAAAGCATATAATTTGCTGAATGTAAAACTAATGATTTGCCCTATAAACCTTCACTCAATTCACAATAAAAACTTAAAAAAAGAAAGAAAATCTTTGCGACCAAAAAATAAAAGAAAATCTTTGTGACCTTGGGTTAAGCAAAGATTTCTTAAGATATGAGAGCAAAAGCACTATTTTCAAAAACGGATAAACTGAACATCATTCAAAATTAAAAACTTGTGCTCTTCAAAAGACATCTTAAGAGACTCAAGAGAAAAAAAAATTAGATTGGAAAGTAAATCTCATAGGGGCAGAAACAAATTTATTAGCATTATTTATATGGAAGTGGATAGGGTAGATAGAAGAAGGGGAAGAAGAGAGAGGAAAATAAGCAAGCATACGTAAACACACAAAGTATATGTTTGCATTCAGAGCAGAAGAAATGAGTGTTCAGTGATATGCTGATGGTGGCTGTCTCAGGATTTGGAAATTTCAGGTAACTTTTAGTTTTGTCCTTATACTTAGTGTAATGTTTTATTTTATTTTTAAAACCAAGCATGTATCATTTATATAATTAGAAAAGAAGCTATTTTCAGTTGGATAAAACTTTTAATTATATACTAAATTTAATTATATAATTAAAATATGTTAAATTGTTAAGAAATTATAGTCAACCATTTCTCAAATCATTTTTTCACCTTCCTATGTTAAGATAACATTTAAAATCTTAATGTTCTGCCTAAATATAAATATGCTTTGAACAAAATGACCATCTTTAAATTCCTATTGTAAGATTTTCATTATCAAAGAAGCTTAAATATGAAGGGGCTTGAAAAAATTTACAGAAAATGGAATTAAAAGATTATGGAATTTTTCCACGAACTTTTTGAAGCCCCCTAATATAAAGAATCTCTAGTAGCGTAGTGGTTACGAATCGGGCTGCGAACCTTAAGGTCAGCGGTTCGAAACTACCAGCCGCTCCGCGGGAGAAAGATGAGGCTTTCTACTCCCGTAAGGATTTACACCCTCGGAAACCCTGTACAGGGTCGCTATGGGTCGGTACCGACTCAACGGCACTTAACAACAACAACAACAATATAAAGAATATAGAGAACATAAAGAATATAGAGTCCTGGTGTGGCGCTGTGGGTTAATGCGCCAGACTGCAAAGCCATTTAAACTGCAAGGTCGGCGGTTCAAGCTCACCAGCTGCCCTCGGAAACCCTATACAGGGTCGCTATGGGTTGGAACTGACTCAACGGCACTTCACAACAACAACAACAATATAAAGAGTAGGTTACAAGTTGGGCGGCCAACTACAAGGTTAGCAATTGGAATCTACCAGTTATCCAAAGAAGAAAGAGGAGGCTTGCTATTCCTGTACAGATTTTACAGCCTTGGAAACCCTGTACAGGGTCGATATGAGTCGGAACCCCTTGACAACACACAACTGCCACCACCACCACCATATTGTTGTTGTTAAGTGTCGACGAGTCAGTTCCGACTCATAGAGATGCTGAATTGGGTTTCCAAGGAGCAGCTGGTGAGTTTGAAACACTGACCTTGCAGTTCAAACCGACCTTGCAGTCCAGTACTTATCCTGCAGCACCACAAGAAAATACATATTATGAAACACTGTTACAGAATGCTTAAAAGTTACTTATACATGAAAATATGAAAAAGTTTTCAATGGGAATCCTGATGATTCAAGTGAAATATCAGAGCCAAATATCAATATTCAGGAAAGCACTGCCAATTAGACCAAGTGGGTGAAATCTAACTAGAAAAATCTCAAAATTAGAAGAACTAAAAATACGAAATCATCCATAACCAGCTGTCACTGATCACATCCAACTCATGGCAATCCATATGTACCAGAGTAGAACTGTGTTCCACAGGGTTTTCAATGGCTGATTTTGTCAGAAGCAGATTGCCAGACCTTTCTTCTGAGGTACATGTGGGTGAATGTGAACCTCCAACCTTTCAGTTAGCACCTCAGGGCATTAACCATTTGCATACACAAGTACTCCATGTATACCCACCAAACTGACTACCAGTGAGTCAACTCTTGACTCATAGCGATCCTATAGGACAGAGTAGAACTGCTCCACACAGTTTCCAAGGCTGTGATGTGGTGCTGTAGGTTAAGCACTACACCAGATATTCCTCAGAAACCCTACTATACAGGGTAGCTGTAAGTCAGAATTACTCACTGGCATTTAACAATAAACAGTCTTTAAAATGGAGTCCTGGTGTGGCGCTGTAGTATTATAAGCACTAGGCTGAAAGGTCAGTTTGAACCACGAGGTGGTGGTTCAAACCCATCAGCTGCTCCTTGGAAACCCTATAAAGGGTCGCTATAAGTTGGAACCAACTCAACAGCACACAGCAACAACAACAATCTTTAAAAAAGGAGTCCTGGTGTGGCGCTGTGGGATAAGCACTGGACCGCAAAGTCGGTTTGGACAACAACAATCTTTAAAAAACAAATGATCATGTCTTTCTCCTGTGGAGAGGCTGCTTTGAACTGCTGACCTCAGTGCTGCTAAACCATGCACTTTTACCAATGCGACACCAGAACTCCTTAAATAATCTATATTATTGTTGTTAAGTGCCATGGAGTCAATTCCAGCTCACAGAGGCCCTGTACAGGGTTTCCAAGAACAGTTGATTGGTTTGAACTGTCAACCTTGTGGTTCACAGTCCAGTGCTGATCCTACAGTGCTACACCAGGGATCTAAATAATCTATACATGGTATAGCACTGTAGGATCAGCACTGGACTGTGAACCACAAGGTCGGCAGTTCAAACACACCAAGCTGCTCCTTGGAAACCCTACAAAGGGGTTGCTGGAAGTTAGATTGTACTCAATGGCACATAACAACAACAACAAGCAGTAAAATCACTCAACAATGTACAAATATTACTAATACTTCAAATACAAAATTACTAGTGTTCAAAAAACATTTCATTCTAATGTTCTAATGCAGGTGGGAGGAAGATTCTCCCAGAGACTTTTGTAAGCATCCCCTAAGAAAACGGCTACAAGTTACAGGTTACATTAAAAACAAAACTATGGTTATGTGTAGGGTACATTCTTTCTTGAAGATATGCTTATGTGGTAATTCATCATTCAAGGAAAAATAATTTCTTCCATATGTGTGCTAGCCAAGAACAGATGAAAAAAAGCATGGAAGTCACGTCTGCAAGAGGCCTTCCCTGATAGACTGGTTCTCCACATACCTGAGCGGAAGCGCTCGTCTCTGGAGTTGGTGGGGCGTGACTTGGACTGTTTGGGAGCGGCAGCCGCTGTCTGCGAGGGCCCTGTGGTTCTGCTCTCTGCTTGCAGGGACAGGTCTACTCCTGAAACACAATGACATGGGAATATCTGTTTAAACAACCTGCTTTTGCAATCACAGAAAAAAGTCCCATAAAAGAGCACACACTTCTACACTGTCACACAACATACACTGCATCAAAGAAGAGATTTGAGCCCACTGAGACCATGATTGATGCAGTGGGAAGCACAGAAAGAAAAATTGTCTATCTGGCAAACTGGAAGTACTGTGAACCAAGGACATGTACTTTTTCAATCATTTTCAGAAGGTGTGGGAGGAAGTGGGTGTGCATTACCTTCAGTCTCCTTTGTTCCTCATTATAGTAGCCCTCGGGAGCAAGGGATGGAGGTGAGGGGTGGCCAGGCCCTGATCAGGTGGAAAGGCAGTGCTAGCAAGGTAGAGGAGGCAGCCAGTGTCCACGCAAGGAGGACAAGGTGCATAGCAACCAGGAAGTGAGAGTCCAGAGTGTGAGGAGGCTAAAGGGGGTTGAGTGAGGAGATGATATGAGTGCCTAGCCAGCCACGGCCTCTCCTACCCTCAGTGATCTGCCCACACCAGCTTAGCCCCATTCTCCCACAAGCCCTGACCCACATCTCTGTTAGTCCTGTCAGACTAGCAAATAGCAACATCCATCAGAAAGACTTCTAAGACTATATTTCTGAGCTGTGTGCATTTTATCAATCCAAAACTGCCTGTGTTTCTCATTCTCAGGACTGCTCGTGATACCAGTAAAATCTGAAAAAGGAACAGCCCATGAACAGATCCCTAGGGTTACTGATAGCCTCTGATGCACGTAGGAAAAGGCACAGAGCATGGAAGAGCAAAGAAGTTGTTCTCTGACCATGATTTCAAAGCTAGCTGACTCTACAAGAATACCATCAAACACTCCATCAGCATGGCCTGGAGTGGAGACCACTGCCAAAGCCTGCACTTCCGCTCTGCTTCCATGTGCAGCTCTCCTCTGAAGGACAAAGAGACATCACTGTTTCTACTTGCCTGCTCTCCACATATCACCTCCAGACCCAATGGATTTTGTATCTCTCATATCCTGTTCCTGAAACAGATGGGTATAAGTGTACGGGACACTAAACCAAATCCCTGGTGGTGTTTTCGGTAATGATTTGCTGAAATCTCAGGAAAGTCTAAAGGACTGGCTATAGGATCGTGAATGTGAAATGGAAACTTAAGTCTTCCACTATGCTTCCTCAAGAATAATCTAACTTTAGCCTTTGTTTCAAAGCATCCTATAAAAATGGCCAGCAAGGCGAAACTAGATGGGGATAAGACTCTTGCAGTTCAATAGTGAATAACTTTTATCAGGACTGACTGTGAGTGTTGCAAATGTAAAGGTAGACGTTTTGTAACAAAAGGAGAGGAGTGGTTCATCTTGCAGTCTAGAAGCGGACCATCAAGGGAGAAGAGCAGAGTGCAGGATCCTATCCAGAGAAGCAGTGACACCAGAGACGGGGGCAGAGACAATGATGTGGAGAGACGGAGTGTCTGGGGACTCTGGGTCTGTGTGTTGATGGCCAGGGGACAGGCTTGCAGCTGTACCCTTTGGTCGTTTGATGATGCATACAGGGAATGGTAATCATTGCAATGAAATGAAATATGATAGGATGAATATAAAGCTAATGTTCTCCCATGCAAACTATCACATAATTCTCAATAAAAACTTAAAAAGAAAACAAAATGGCCAGCAAGTCATTTCTGACCCATAGGCCCTTCCAGCCCCTAACCGCTTCCTTATGACACAGGCACTCTGCCTGTCTCAAGCCCAGGCAGTGCTCCATGATACCCCAATATAATAGACACAGTACAGGACACAGGAGTGACCAAGTGACTCCCGAGGCTGCTCATGAAAGGAGACTAGGCTTCCATGCCCAACAACATAACAGGAGTCATGTGAGGCAGAGGGAGAGAGGCACAGGCCCAGGAGCCCAGTGGGGGCCAGTCCTGGGTGTGAGGTGTGAGGAGACCTCAGACAATGCCAACTTGGCTCTGAGGCATGAGCCGACCTGAGGCCTACCTGAACTGCAGATTCATGAGTACAACAGATCCTGATCTTGTTTTAAAACACAAAGTTGTGCAGTGTTAGAGACTCACAACACTCTCAGAGGAAATCAATGCTTAACTCTATAACATTTGAGGATGCACGAGGGAACTTCAAAAACCTCATGAAAAAACTCCATTATATTTTCATTCCATTTTCCCACAAACTTTTTTTAAAGCCCCCGTGTATATAAGGCCGTTATGAATTGGGCTGCAACCCTCAAGGCCAGCAATTCGAAACCACCAGCTATTCCGCAGGAGAAAGATGAGGCTTTCTGCTCCAGTAAAAGATCTACAGCCTCGGAAACCCTGTGCAGGGTCGCTATGAGTCAGAACCGACTCCACAGCATATAACCACCACTGCCAATCAGTACCTCCACTGGCATTTCATTTTTTTGTGCCATGAGAAAATGACTTTAAAGTTCACAAAGGCTCTTCATGCATTATGGATTATAAGCAGACATGCTGCAAAGTTATCTATATATATATATATATGAACATCCTCACACTTACATTCCAAAACACATGTGATTTTATTCTTTGAGATAGATCCATTTACTCAACAGAGATTTTTGAACCCAATACAAAATTACTGGATGAAATAGTAGTCATATTGCTAATTTTAGGTGATACCAAGAGACTCCTTTCTAAGAAGGATGCAGCAATTCACACCCCCACAAGCAATGTATGAAAATGTCATTTCCCTCACATCTTTGTCAGCACTGAATATAACAAAAAAAGTTTAGAATTTTGCCAACTTTTCTTAAAAATGTTTAGAAAAATGGTTTCCTTTCATTTGCATTTCCATATCTACTAATCTACTGTTGGTTGGCTATCTGCATTTCCTTTTCTCTGGCTTTACCAAGCTAATGAGTTTCCCACAAGGCTGCAGGTATCTTTGTCAGGGGCACTCCTGGCACTGGGGCCTGCATTGGGGAAGCTGAGTGGCAGCTTCCATATTCCAAATGCTTCATCTTAAAAAAAAATACAAAAAACCCTCTTCGTTTCCTGTCAACAGCCCCCATTTCAAGATTATTAAAAAGTTCTCCTACATTTTGTTGTATTTTATAATGAGCACCATATTTACACTTGCAGTCCTTCAGAGGTCTATGTTTACATACAGTGGTAGTGAGGAGGTCCCAGTAGCCTACCTTGCTTGCACCATTTACTAAGACCCCTCATCGTTCACCGTCCCTCGAATCCATTTCTGAACTCCCTTCCTCTCCACTAACTGGGTTGTATACCCTATCCACCAAGGTTTCATTTTTGTTATAATCTGTTGTATTTAATAGCTGTGTATGTCTCAAAAAGGAGCCCTGATGGTGTAATGATTAAGTGTTTGGCTGCTAACCAAAAGGTTTGTGGTTCAAGTTCTATGGGAGAAAGCTATGGCAGCCTGCTTCCATAAAGATTATAGCCTTGGAAACCCTATGGGATAGTTCTACTCTGTCCTACGGGGTTTCTATAGGTCCCTATCAGTGATGGCAATGGGCACTGTGGGGTAATGCGCTGCACTGCAAGGATGGTTTGAACCACAAGGTCAGCCGTGGTTCAAGCTCACCAGTCACTCCTATACAGGGTCTCCATGAGTCAGAACCAACTCGACAGCACTTAACAACAATCCCAAAGGCACATCATTTTGAACTACTGTTCTTTTCCAGAAATTTATTGGCTACTCAGACATTTTATCTTTCAAATAAGTCATTTTTCCTAATCCCAAGTTTAAAAGCAATCAGCAGCTAATATTCTGACTGGACTGCATAATGTTCATACATTAATTTGGAAACTGCCAGTTCTATAACATTAAGTGTTCCGTTTAGGAAATTGGCATGCTTCTTCATTTACCAGGGTCTTGGTTATTCCTTTCAAACTAGTTCCTCAGGAGAAAGATGAGGCTTTCTGCTCCCACAAAGATTTACAAGCCTCAGAAACCACATACAGTGTTACTATGAGTCAGAACCAACTCAAGAGCACTTAACAACAACAAATACCGGTGCTCTGTATTTCTTGCTAACTGTGTTAATATGTATTTACCAGTTAGTGCTATTATGAACGTAATTTTCCATTGAGAGATACTGCTATTAAAAACTATTCATTTTTTCACATTTGTCTTCTACCTGTACTTCTATCAAACCAATAGCTCTAACAATAAGTAGCATCAATTGGGCTTTAATGTATAAAATACCACCTTTAAGTAACGATGATTTTCTTGTCTTTCCACTATGTATGCTGCTTTGTTTTTCCATATTACTGCATTCACCACGACCACCAAAATCATGTGAACTTAGAGTATGGAGGACAGCAAGTATCCAGCCTAACCCCTGCTTAGGATGGAAATCACCACAGTAACTAATTGCTTAGTTTGATGGTTGCTGCTGATTTTGGTAAATTGATTTTTATGATATTTTATTAGTTTCCTTCAATTCCAATTTTACTAAAAATTTTGCTTTTGTTTAGTTTGTTTGGGGTAAGTATCAGGATTTAAATAAATTTCTCAATCCTTATGTTTTTAATTCAGTGTGAAATACGTCATATGAGCACAGAGCTGTATAAAACATGAATATAATTTAGACAAATATTATAGAGCAAAAATTAATGTTACTGCAGGTTAAGAAATACAAAACTGCAGTACCTTTGAAGCCCCCTATAACTCTCCTCACTCTTACATCCACAAGGACAGCAGGCTGACTTCTATGAAATCATTTCCTTGTCTGTCTTTATTAACTATATGTTGTTGTTGTTGTTAAGTGCCATCGAGTCGGGTCCGACCCATAGCGACCCTGTACAGGGTTTCCGAGGGTGTAAATCTTTACGGGAGTAGAAAGCCTCATCTTTCTCCCGCAGAGCAGCTGGTAGTTTCGAACCGCTGACCTTAAGGTTCGCAGCCCGATTCGTAACCACTACGCTACCAGAGCTATAGAGGTCCCTAAATAGCACAGCTCAGTTTGGCATGTTCTTTTAACTTATACTAGC